ATAAATCATAAAATATCTTGTAAAATATTCATTTTTCGATTATCTTATATTACTACTTTTATGTACAAAATAATGAGAGGAATCAATTGGTGTAAAGAAAACACATAGTTGTTTCTAAGAAAAAATATGTAATTTGCAATTAACAATTACATATTTTTTCTTAAAAACAACTGTATGTTTTCTTTACATCAATTGATTCCTCTCATTATTTTGTACATAAAAGTATTAAGGTAAGATAATCGAAAAATGAATATTTTACTAGATATTTTATGATTTATGTAAAATTAAAAAATGATTTCAAGCCTTATAACTCAAAAAGTACTTAACGAAAAGGTACTTAATTATAGTGTTTTGGAAAGCTCTCGAGATAAGCTACAAGAATATGTAAAGAGAAAATGTAGGTTCCATTTAAGAAATTGAAGGTGACCTTCATGTGACCTTCAAATAACTCTTCAAGGTCAAACCAATGATACCATCTTATGTCCCCCTTGAAACCATACAACTTTTGTTTGAAACATTTTTCTCTCTCGGACTTGGTTTTCGAGTTATTTGGCTGCCTAAGTTAAAATGGGTCACCCTGTATATATATATACAGGGTATCCTAAACCACCCGTACACCCCTTTTCTTTCAAAAACTAAACATTTTAGAGAAAAACGTTTTCGACAAAAATTGTATGGTTTTGAGGGGAACATAAAATGATGTCATTGGTTTGACTTTGGATGGCATCGTTAAGGTCCGGTCAAGGACACCTTTCATTTCTTAAATGGAACCACCTATTTTTTATTGCATATTCTCATAGCTTATGTCGAGAGCTTTCCAAAACACTATAATAAAGTATTTTTTCATTGAGTACTTTTCGAGTTATGAGGCTTGAAATAATTTTTCAATTTTACATAAACCATAAAATATCTAGTAAAATATTCATTTCTTTATTATCTTATCTTAATACTTTTATGTACAAAATAATGAGAGGAATCAATTCGTGTAAAGAAAACACACAGTTGTTTTTAAGAAAAAATATGTAATTGTTAATTGCAAATTATGTACATATTTTTCTTCAGAACAATTATGTGTTTTTTTACACCAATTGATTTCTCTCATTTGTACATAAAAGTATTAAAATATTTGTACATAAAAGTATTAAAATAAGATAATCGAAAAATAAATATTTTACTAGATATTTTATAATTTATGTAAAATTAAGATATTATTTTAAGCCTCATAACTCGAAAAATACTTCATGGAAAAATACTTCATGGAAAAATAATTTATTATAGTGTTTAGGAAAAATCTCGACATAAGCTTGTAACGATGCACCCCGTGCACCCCCTAAAACGCATCGTTATTCCCGGCATGCGATCGCCGGAAGCTGCCGCCCGGCAGAACACCCGCCGGGCAAGGGCAGGGGCGCGGTGCGCCCACATTTTTTAAGCAATTCAAAAAACTCGAAACGGCGTTAGACCGTTAATTGCCGAGCCGGAAAAAACCGGAGATTGCCGAGGAACCCCGAACTGTCGACCGGCGAAAACCCGCGTTCGGCGCGACACCCGAATCCCTCCGAACGGGCCCGACCGTACCGTTTCTCTGAAACCCGTTCGGAAGGGGTAAATCCGCCGCGCGCCGACGCGCGGGTAATTAGCCGGTATAAAAAGGGCATACTCGGCAATCTAATCACCCTTTTTCCGATTCCACTCGCACCAGTGAGACGACTCGGAATCCTAAACCGCTCCTAGCAAACGCCGAAAATAGAACCAGAGGTAGAGAGCTCTCTTCCTCTATCGAGAAACTCTCGATCATTATACGGCTAGTCCATCCAGCCACTTTTCCGACCGCCTAACGAACCTGAGCGCACTCCGGTTCAACCGAGAGATCTCGGTAAAAACGGTCCAACATCCAACCGCCTTACGTTGTGCATCATACCCCGGGGCAGAGAGGAGAGCTGCCTCGGGCGAGTGATTCTCGCCGGCACAACGCTTCCTGGAAAAGCTCCTGTTACACCGCGAATTACGTCCCCGATTCGTCGGAATACGCGTACGCCGAATTGAACTCGTAATTCACCGAAACACTAGCAGAAGAAGTACGCGAAGGAATACACACGTTTATAAAAACGCGGCTAGACTCACCGCCGGACACGCACGGCCATAAAAAGCGCAGCGCACATCGATGCACCGCGCTCACGCATAAACACACACGCTCCGCACCGAATTAATCTAATTAACGCTTGTTACTCACGCACACACACACACACAAACACGCACACACACATTTATACACACCTACACGACCACACATTCTGTAATTCATCTACCTTAATAAACATTTTGTTACACATACATGCTCTCGCTCTTATTACGTCAAACGAATCCTGATTCCGACTCCGACTATCCGACGGCGATTCGCGCGGAATACGCCCGTGACAAGCTATAGGAATATGCAATAAAAAATAGGTAGTTCCATTTAAGAAATTAAAGGTTTCCTTGACCTGTCCTTAAGGATGCCATCCAAGGTCAAACCAATGACACCATCTTATGTTCCCTTCAAAATATACAATTTTTGTCGAAAACGTTTTTCTCTAAAATGCTTAGTTTTCGAAAAGAAAAGGATATATGGGTAGTCTAGGACACCTTATATATACAGAGTCTCCCAAAAGTCCCGGACCGGTCGAATATTTCATAAACTATGCACTTTAGAAAGAAATGTTTCAAACAAAAGTTTTATGGCTTGAAGAGCGCTATCAGATAGTGGTAATGATTTGACATGGCAGAGTCATTTGAAAGTCACGTGAAGATCACCGTCAATTTCTTAAATGGAACTCCCTATTTTTTATTACATATTCGTGTAGCTTATCTCGAGAGCTTTCCAAAACATTATAATTAAATATTTTTTTATTGAGTACTTTTCGAGTTATGAGGCTTGAAATCATTTTTTAATTTTACATAAACCGTAAAATATCTTGTAAAATATTCATTCTTCGATTATCTTACCTTAATAATTTTATGTACAAAATAATGAGAGAAATCAATTGGTGTAAAGAAAAAACATAGTTGTTTTTAAAAAAAAAATATCTAATTTGCAATTAACAATTACATATTTTTTTAAAACAACTATGTTATGTAACCTCGCTCGTTGTTTAATAAAAAGTTGTAAACAAAAGAAGTTTTATAAATTTCATAGAATTTTTAGACCATGTACAATAATAGACCTTTCAATTATGGAGAAAAGATACAACCTCACTAATGTTCTTGACCTTGACATATGTTGTAAAGCTCATTATTTTGAGTCATACACCGAATGACGACATACATTGAATTTTGTGGTGATCTCTCTTCGTTTCTAAGATATGCGATTTTGAAATTTTATACTTACTTGTATCATCTTTTCGTTACTTTTCTAAATATGTTTATATTTTTCTGTTTACAACTCCCGAGGTCATTTTTCTGAATAACTTTCAAAAAGTTTTAGCCGCTTGCTATTTATTAAATAGTTATTAACAAAAAGAGTTTTATGAATAGAATATAATTTTACCACATCATGTGTAATGTATGTTCAGAAGAAATACATATATTTAATAGAATATATGTATTTGTAAACTTTGCTTTGTCTTGCAAAGTACATGCGTGGTCACCGCATATTCCGCCCCCTACGGGGGGGGCTCCACTTTCGGAAAATATAACCTAACCCAATCTGTGTCTAAAGTGTAGGAAATACCTTAATATATGACATTTTGCTTTACATAGTTCATATAGTTTATATAAATTTGCAACTTTCTGCGAAGTCAGGTATATTCCATACTTCAGACACGGGTTGGGTTAGGTTATATCTTCCAAAAGTGGAGCTCTCTCGTAGGGGAGGCGGAACATGCGGTGTCCACGCATGTATTTTCTAAAATGAAGGAAGTTATATACAAACACTTATTAAAAGTTTAGATAAAATAAAAAGTACAATTTTTATTTAGCAAAACTAAATAGTAATTCTGTAGCTTAGCAACATGCAAGGAACAACAAGCAAACGTAAATAAAAAAATATAAACACACAAGTAAAATATAATATGAAACCGTGATGAGCAAATGTAAACAAAAAATGTAAACACATAAATAGGATATAACGAAAAAATGACATAAAAGTATGAACTTTTTCTCCATATTTAGAAGGTGGAAGGAAAGGTCTATTATTGTACATGGTCCAAAAATTATATAAAATTTATAAAATTTCTTTTATTTATAACTTTTTAATAAACAACGAGCGACGACTAAAATCTTTTGGATATTACTCAGGGCAGTGACCTTGACAATAAATGTCAAGGTCAAGTCATTTGAGGCTGAATGTGTAAAGGTAAATATTTACCATTTTTTTCTTTGTAATAAGGAATATGATATAGAAAAGAGAAAAAAAGTTATATATTTTCGAGTACTACGCAACGCGAGCATCAATATAAAACTAGCCGCTAATATAATTTTACACATGTAATACAATTTATAATATTCGTATCTCAAAAATAACGATTTCAGAAAATAATATTATCATATATGAATGAATTAAGCACTCCTTAATTTTTGTACGTATAAAAAATTCGTTAAATTACTAGTGTAAAATACATTTTAGGTATTTTGGAAAATAATATAATATTTTAAAAATTAAAAATATATCAGACTATTTCGAAAAATAGTGGTTAATTTAGACAGTGCATGGCGCTGCTTCTCCGAAAAGTACCATAATTAAATGGCAGTAGCAGATTACAACCCGTAGGTTAATACCAGAAGAAATCTTTATGAGCATTTCTAATCCTTCGATAAGTAAACTATTTATAAATTTTTACGATTTTTAAGAGAAATATTTTAATTTCTAAATAATGATATCAAGATTTTACCGTTTGTTAATTGTACATAATTGTATTTAATCAATATACTTTGAAAAAGTTCCTTTAAATAAATGAACTTTGAAAAAATTGTTTCACACATTTAAATTAGTTAATAAATGATTAAAATTTTGATATACTTACTTGGATAAATTCGCAATAAATCTTCGTCCGCTTTCTTCGTTTGCTTATGTTTATCGGTATCTGCAAGTTTAATTAATATTTATTTTAAAAATAACATTAGTATTGAGATTGATTGATAATTTAAAGTATCTGTTATTAATAACAATAATAATTGCATTTCCTATTATATTTTACAACTAATAATGCACCAGAATTATGCGCATATTCGTTATTTCGTTAATTATTTATAATTAATGCAAATTGAAGATTCATTAAATTTGGTCTATCAAATTTCTTTATATTACTTTATATTTACGAATTGCTAATCACACATTGCAAATAATAAATACACTTATGTATGGTTATTATTAGTAAATATAGTATTAGCTTAAAAGTAATAATATTTATAATTATAAACAAGAAAAAAATAAATAAACGGAAAAAAATAAATAATCCAAATAATAATAAATCAAAAATAATAATAGAGCAAAAGGTTGTAAACCTAACCGTGGTGTAAAGTATTCGAACGACATACGTATCTTTCGATCAATTTTTGATCATTTTCAATGTCAATTATATTGTATTTGAACTAATGTTGGAATAAATTATATGCTTATCTCTATCTAATGTAATTTAACGAATATATAATTTTATTTTTGAATTTATTACGTTCGAACACCTTACGCCACGGTCTACAGCCTTTTGCTCTATTATTATTTATAATTATACTTAATTTTGAATCAAGATTCAACTGGAAAGAAAAATGTCGAAAAAGATTGAGAAATTACTAAAGCTTTCAATGTGAAACATAAATTTAAATTTATTGGGTCAGTAAGAGCCAGATGCTAATGCTGATGAGTTAGTTTCAAAGAAAAATAATTTTTTCTTTCTCACAAATTAAATGATTATATGCACACACAAATTTTCTTTACATTTTTCAAGGAAAATATGTGCCTGCATCATTCACGTCTTCTCATTAACTTATGTATTATCTTATAAATTTAAATTTTTAAGATTACTTTAAAATTTGCTTAAAATTTTCTCATTACTATTTAAATTATTTGCCTATCAGTATTATTTTTTGTATTTTTCTGTCTATATTTAATAAAGAATATTTGTAAATATATTTAATAAAAAATATTTTCCTTTTAAGTGATTAACAGTAAATATGATTGAATAGACATACACAACATATAGAGGAAAACGGTACAATATGTTCCATATTTGCTTAAATACAAAATACATTTTTAATAAACAAATGTTATCAATAGTTGAAATTCAGAAAGATTTTTATTAATATTACAATTAATAATTTCTCAATAATTAAAGTATTTTAATTATGAGATCAACTTTTTGAAAATATTGAAACAAGCAATTTTTTCTAAAATTCGGTGAAAAACGTTTCAAATAATTATAATCAATAAAAACAACTTTTTTCGTTTTAAATTATAAAATTGAAACTTAAAAAAATCATATTGTAACTCACTAAAAATGTTAATACATAATATTTTTATTGATACAAAAATTGCATCTTTCTTTATTTCTTTTAAAAAATAAAATATTGACATCTATTTATGATGCTTTGACCTTCGCCATTACTTCTAACAATGGCTTTTCGTTTTATTCTTTGTAGTTTTCTTAGAATACAACGAAAGAGAACATAAATATATCCATTTTCTCTAATGTTGTCGTACAAATTATATACTAGTGCTAAAAGAGATAAAAATATTTTAAGACTATATATTGCAGATTGTTATTAATATAGATGGTCTCTCGTCTCATAAATAATAAATTCTGTCTATAAAACATATCATGTCTGTAAAATAAATTATGAAGTAAAATAATGAGAGTATTAATCTAATTAAAAATGATATCATGTCTCTAATCAAATATGTAAAAAATAATGTAAACGTGTAAAAAAATATGTATATATGAATATAATTGTTTGTGTACACGTATGTGTGTGTATCTGCGTGCAGTGTGCGCGTGCGTGCGTGTGTGCGAGTGTGTGTTGTGTATGTGCGTATGTGCGTGTGTGTGTACGTATATATGTGCTGAAAAAATTTTATAATTAAGCAAATATTTATAAATAATAATGTTTATTCTACATCGGAAATATTTTTTTATATATACATTGTTTTATACATACATGCATGCTATATATTAGAGGCGAGCAAATATCGTTCTATTCCTGTTTAATCTCGATAGTCTTTGCCATGTGTTGGCAAAGATTTAGGTGCGTTCATGCATGAAACGCATGAGTGTCTAGTGCAGAGTATGAAATGCAGAGTTCGTTCGGTTTCTTCATGTACGGATTATGCACTTCTAGTAACGGAACAGATCTCATGCAATTCATGCAATATGGATGACGGTTTAAGATTTACTAAGGTCCATATTCTGAATCACTAAACATTACTTTTAATTTGCTATTTTTTAATTATTTATTTGATTAATGGTCCAATTAAAAAATTAAAGAATTTTTTTATTTAAATTATAACGAGTGACATTGCTGTACATATTATAAATTGTCATTTTTAGAATGTAATATTTCTTGTTTTATTGCTGCTGCGATTCCGCTGTTACATTATAACAAGTCATGCACGATTTTTGTCAAGTTTCTGTCGTCAGTATGTTATGACAAGCATGATTTATTCTTGCTGTATTTCTGCTATCACATCGTGATGGCGAGATGTATTTCATATTTGTCATATTTTTATCGACATGGCAAATGATACTTAATTTTTTTTTGCATTTTTTGCATTCACACTATATCAAATATACTATATTATCCTAGTACAAAATTATCCTATCATTATATTATCCTAGTAAAAAAAACAATTAGATACAGTAGATAGGAATCTGCTGTAAAGTCATAGGCCGGTATTCATAGTCCGATCTTATACTTGAAATCGTCTTAAGTTCGAGCTTGAAATGCTACGCAGCCATTTGATTGGTTCAATGAGGTCTTAAGTCAACCTTGGACCAGACTTAAGATAATCTTAAATATAAGATCGAACTATGAATACCGGCCATAATTTAGTTTGCTGTCTGTACACTGCCGACAACATGGTGCTAACATTTTACTATCTAGGAAATTGTTTAAAATATTAAAAAACTAATTTGTATCGAGCATTTTATAAAATTCGCAATATTTTCAGAAATATATCAAATATTAAGAGCTTTTTAGAAATATATCAAATATTAAGAGCTTTTTTATATGATTTATACGTTATTATTCTATTTACATTTTAAATACAATAATAGTTAAAAGCTGCATAGTCTGTTCGATGTCTGCTGCCATCAGATTATATTAGTAAATTCTGTTGTTTCTATTATCAATTTTATTATAAAATGTGAGGTTCTATTGGCATTAAAAGCATAATGAAGATATGATACTAATTAGCAACTTCTGGATAAATCTTGCCAATCTGTTAACATAGTGCAATCATTCTGCTTATTGGCTAATCTATGCGTATATGTGTATATATATATATATATATATATATATATATATAGTATACTGACCAGTATGATTTTTCAACAAATTATTATTTGCTTCCGGACCATACGTCATCATTGACCCAATTAACACGATTAGGATAAGCTCGATCAGAAATAACATTAGCACTTGTTGTTTCTGAGTAATCGATGAATACATTGTCTGTAAAAAATAAATATTTGTTTTTTTATTGTTAAAACACACATATAATTACATTGCACTTATAGTTACATTGTTATTATTAAATTATTACTCTGTTCCTTGGGTGCAAACCGATTCTTAATATTTATCATCTTCGGATATTTTATCGAAGAAAGAAAAGAATCGTGAAGAGTTCGGCGGATGTAATGTATGAAAATAATAGCTTTTTAATAAAAAAAAGTAGCCAATTATCTTGTTTTAAAAATTAACTTTAAGTAAAAGACGGACCTCTGTAATTTTATTTTCAAATAGAATGTAACAAAAAGATAACCAATTTTTTGTAATAATTTAATAACAGCAATGAAATAATGATAACGAACGCAAACTCTGACCCATGTATATAACCGACATTTGAATTTTGTGGATAAATTGAATTAAACAAAATCAAATACTGGGAGGATGACCAGTTGTGATAGCTTGAAAATTTTTAAATAAAAGCCGTGAGTTAAATTCAATAGTTACGCAAACGAAAGGGCATAAAATCCACACAGCATGAATGGCTATTTGCCGACTGATAATCAACGTTTCAACTTGAAATCGTCTTTTTAAGTCGACGTTTAGTCAACTATTTCTAGTACGGTTTATTGTCGACTTTAACTATTGACTATGAGTCGACTTAAGGTCGACCATTTTCAGAAAATTAAAAGTCGGCTTTCGGTAAAGCGAAAAGTCGATTAAATTAGGCATTTTCAAAGACTTGGTTGATTTAATTTCATTATTCTTTAATTTTATTATATGTAACAAAATTATACAGGATGTCCCGGATTTTTTCGATCAAACTTTGGAAGCTTATTCTACACTTCGAAGTGAGAGGATAAACACGTTTGACTCATTATATTTTTGTGAACATTTTTTCTCGTAACTTCGTAATAAAGCGTTTCTAAATAAACTTTATATAACATTTTTTTCTTATTTCAACTTGTAGAATAAGCTCCCAAAGATTGATCGGAAAAACCCGGGACATTCTATATATTAAAGTATACAGGGTTTGTCAAAAGTGTGGAAACCCCTAAATAACTTTTGTAAAAATGAAAATATCAAAAAACGGTAAAACACGTATTTTGATATTTCAAAAAAGCCACCCTATGACATGGATACCGATCATACCCCACCCTCTGGTACGCGGGGGTAAGAGGGGGGTTGAAAATTTTAAATTGGACTAGGGGTCGAGTGGAGGCTCATTTGAAAGGTCTTTTCATAATAAACACACCCTTAAAATTTTAAGTCGCTACGACCCCCCCCCATTAAAAATAGCGGCCGCTCAAATTTCGAAATTTCATGCACTTAGTGTTATCCAGGATCAATTGCGTGGAAGTGGCATGAATTTGATCCCTTGTGTGTGTGTGTGTGTGCGCGCGCGCACACACACACAAGGGATCAAATTCATGCCACTTCCACGCAATTGATCCTGGATAACACTAAGTGCATGAAATTTCGAAATTTGAACGGCCGCCATTTTTAATGGGGGGGGGGTCGTAGCGACTTAAAATTTTAAGGGTGTGTTTTTTATGAAAAGACCTTTCAAATGAACCCCCACTCGACTCTTAGTCCAATTTAAAATTTTCAACCCCCCTCTTACCCTCAGAGGGTGGGGGATGATCGGTATCCATGTCATAGGATAGCTTTTTTGAAATATCAAAATACGTGTTTTACCGTTTTTTGATATTTTCATTTTTACAAAAGCTATTTAGGGGTTTCCACACTTTTGACAAACCCTGTATAATGAAACCTACACAGAAAAATTTATCCAATAGATATCTAATAAATGTCTAAATGTCTATATGAAGTCCATATCCTCTATAGATAACCAGTAGATGTACATATATATTCCACATATCTACATTTACACACAAAAAATACCACTAAATTTGAGCACAATTAAACATTTTTCAATAACAATAAATCGGCAAAAAATCATCGTATTAAGATGAAATAAAACTCAAATTAAAGCTTGAATATTTCTTTTAAAAAGCAAAAACACAAATTTGAGTTAAAAAAAATATTTTACAAAAAATATTTTAAAATGATGGACGTTGAAGATAAACTTTGAGAAATGAGAAACAAATTTTTTTTAAATGATACAAAAATTTTTGCAAAATTTTTGTTTTCTGACATAAAAATGTATGGGTTTTCAAAAAAGCTCATTTATTTCCTAATAAATTCATATTTTAATCAATTTTCTATGATCTTTTTTAATAAAGTTATATTGTTTTGAGGAATGATTTAAATCTGACCGTCTATCTCTACGTGAAGCATCTTGGATCAAGGTACGGTTTAATTTTTTTTCTGAAAAAATTTTCCATGATAATTTGTTTCTAAATTGCAGATTTTATAAGGAAAGTTTTATTTTATAACATTTTTTTCAAAACGATAACTTTATCAAAAAAAGTCGTAGAAAATTTATTAAAATATAGATTTATTAAGAAATAAATAAGCTTAAGGGGATCCTAAAGTCGTCTGTTTTACTGACAAGATGCGAAGAATGAGTTCGATCACAAATCTTTTTATGGCTACACAGATCGGTAAATCCTTTCCCACAATTAAAGTACTAACGGCCGTATTCATAGATCTTCCTTGAGGAATAAGGAATTCTTATTCACTAAAACACGTTTCATAGATCTTCCTTTATCAAATAAGGAACTTTATTAGGCTTTCTTATCTCAAGGGAGGTTGCGAACTTCCTTGAGGTGGCGATTGCAAACTTTTATTAGCAGAAGACGCAATAACAATCTATAAAGTATTACTATTATTCCTGCTCCATGTGTTAAAATGGATAATGAATTTTTAAATAATTCAGATGATGAACTTGTGAATGAAAATGCGGAAAATTATATTTGTTGGCGTTTACCAAAAAAGTACATTTGTGACGGGGAAAATCCAATTGAATTTTACGAAAATAAACCTTTTAAAAAACGATAGATTTAATAAAAGATATGTAATTGAGATCTTATTACCACTGGTATACGAGCAGTTAAAACGTGATAATAACCGCGGATTGCCGATTTCTCCAATTATGCAGTTATTAATAACATTACGATTTTATACAACCAGTAGTTTTCAAGTATATATGTAAATATTGTCTTTTGCTTCAAACATACATCTTTTTCATATATTTTATACTTTTTATTCAGATTGTTAATGGAGATATTAGAGGATACAGTCAAGCATCGGAATCGCGTATTGTTGCAAGAGTATTAACAATTTTAGCATCACATGTAGGGCAATACATAAATTTTTCCACACAACAGCGTCAAAGGCAAAACAATAATAGGTTTTATGAAGTAGTAAATTTTCCATGTGTAATAGGATGTATCGATTGTACTCACATACGTATTGCCAATCCTGAAGGAAATAATGGAGAAGTATTTCGGAATCGAAAAAGATGGTTTTCATTGAATGTACAAGTATGTCGTTTTTAGTACGAAAAAAAACAGGAGTTTAAAGTTAAAATATTTATTGTATGCTATAGATTATATGTGGACCTCGAAGAGAAATTTTGGACATTGTTGTGAGGCATCCTGATTCAGTACACGATGCTGTAATTTTTGATCGACGTGGTGTTCGATGTCGTTTCGAATTGGGACATCTCAATGGAATTTTACTTGGAGAGTGGATACGCATGTCGAAGATACTTATTGACTCCTATATTAAGGCCTGAAAACAATGCTGATGTTAAATATAATAATGCACATAAGAAGACTAGAGTTATTATCGAACGATTTTTCGGAGTTTGGAAGCGCCGCTTTTCGTGTTTATATTATGATTTAAGAACCTAACAAACTAAATACATCAATTGCAGTTATTTGTGCTACTGTTGTTTTGCACAATATATGTATGTATCACAATATATGTATGGATTCAAGGAAATTGAAGAAGAATATATACAGAACGAAGTATTCGAGGCTGTTCGCAATCGAGAAGAAGATAGCATTGGACTTGCGCATAAAAGAGCTTTTATAACCAGACATTTTTCATAAAATAAGTGTGTTATTTTAGTGTACGTGTTACTTTAGTATGTGCATTATTTTAGTGTGTGTTACTTTAATATGTATGTGTGCCTATTATTATATTTTGATGTGTGTTATTTTAGTTTGTATTATTTTAAAGTATGTGTGTGCGTGTTATTTTAGAGTGATAAAACTATTAATTTAATAAACATCTTGTAATGTCATAAAGCACAATAAAATGAGTTTAAATAAAAGAAACAGTTTTAATAACACATGAAAGATTTACATGAAGAGAAAAAAAACACATTTACCAACATACTCTTTGATAACATACTCTGATAAACTTGTAAAATCGACACATCATATATCACAGCCATAGACTGTCTGCTTCATATCTTACTTCGACCTGAAGGTCGCTTATGGGATTTAGAATTTGTGTAGAACTTTTTTAAATTATATACATCATAAAAAATGCTTTAAGAATTAAAGTAATCTTAACTCATTTAGTATCGATTACGAATTAATATCACATAATTTATTGTACTTGGCTAATAGTATTGATCTCATATCGATTTTAAATATTTTAATCACTCCTTTAGATTTTTTGATTTTATTAAAAATTGTTTTATGTACTTGGTATATTTTTTTATCTTTATAAGGTTTTTTTTAGGAAATCTCACCGCTTTTTGTAAGTATTATTTCTGCAGAAAATATATGTTAGATTTTCTAAAGATATTTTTTTATGTACTTGACGTATTTTTTTACCTTTGTAAGGTTGTTTTTAGAGGGATATCATCATTTTTTGTAAAAATTAATATTATTTCTGCAAAAAATATATATGCATTTTTAAAAATCTTAACTAAGGGCGTAAGTCCCGTATTTTTACGAAGTTTCATTTTCTAGATATTAGAGCTTACTCCCAAGGGGTGGTTTTTGAATATATTGTTATAATACGATATATTAGTCTCCTTAGAAATCTTATCTAACGGCACAGTTTCTATATTTTTATTACCCTGTTTTCGAGATATTGGATTTTATCCCCAAGAAGATTTTGGAAATTATTATGAGATAAATTAATCTCTCACGTATACACATATACACATATACACATATCACACATATGCACATATACAGGGTTAGGAAAAAGTCTGGATACCCCTTAATATTTCCAAAAATACGCATTTTAAAAAAAATGTTTCATACAAAAGTTATAGGGTTTTATGTGGCGCATTACACAGCAACATTATTATGACCTCGAATAGCGTTGTCAAGGTCATGTGAAAATCAGCTTCAATTTTTTAAATGGAACCCTATATTTTTTATTACATTATCTTGCAGCTTATCTTGAGAGCTTTTCAAAACACTATAATAAATTATTTTTCCATGAAGTACTTTTCGAGTTATGAGGCTTCTTAAATCATTTCTTAATTTTACATAAACCGTAAAATATCTTGTAAAATATTCATTTTTCGATTATCTTACTTTAATATTTTTATATACAAAATAATGAGAGGAATCAATTGATGTAAAGAAAACACATAATTGTCTCGAAAAAAAATGTTTGCAATTAACAATTATATATTTTTTTCTCAAAAATAACTATGTTTTTTCTTTACATCACTCGATTTCTTACACTATTTTGTACATAAAAGTATTAAGGTAAAGTAATCGAAAAATAAATATTTTACAAGATATTTTATAATATTAAATTCTTGAATGTCGATATAAGATATTTTATTATTATTAAATATATTATTAAATATATATTTATAATAAGATATTTTATGGTTTATGTAAAATTAAGAAATGATTTCAAATCTCATAACTCGGAAAGTACTTAATGAAAACTAACATAATTATAGTGTTTTGAAAAGCTCTTGAGATAAGCTATGAGAATATAAAGTTTGGGTTTCCATTTACAGAATTCAAGGTGACCTTTACGAGACCTTGACAACACTGTTCAAGGTCATACTGATATCACCATGTAATACGTTACTTAATAATACGTTACTGAAACCATACAACTTTTGTCTGAAATATTTTTGTCTGCCGCGTTCAGTTTTTGAGATATTCGGCTGATACGAGTAGTCTGCGACACCCTGTATATATATATATATATATATATATATATATATATATACATATATTAGCAGGATTTTATGCTGCAAATGTCAGTGTCATATATCAATGTATAATTCAAAGTTTTATCGTATATAGTTATTTTCCTCATTTTTGTAATTTTCAAGGAGTTATATAAAAATATCGCTCTTTGCTTCAAGAGAAAAGTCCCTTAAGGGTTGCAGCGCAAAAATCAAAATTACCTGGATATAATAGCACATAATGTAAAATCTTATCGTGTATAGTTAATTTCCTCATTTATGCGATTTTAAAAGAGCTATATGAAAATATCGCCCTTTGCTTCAAGAGAGAAGTCTCTTCAGAGTCGCAGCGCAAAAATCGAAATTGATCTTGATATAATAACGCATAATTAACGCATAAATTCTGAGTATTTATTTTTCGAAATTATTTGTTCTTAACGGGTGGAGGGGCTCACTAACTGTCCGCTCAGTCCCCCCACAAAAAAATTTTTTTTTGCTAAACTAAATGAGCACAAAAATTTTTTTTATGAATTTGATGAGCGGATAATTAGTGCATTATTATATAATTTTTTTATTACATTTGCGCAATATGGGCGCCAGCTAGGCAGACGTCACATGTCACTCAGTTTTGGTGTGCTGACATATCATCTGCACAGCCTCAAGTGAGCTGTAAACTTTAGTAAAAATCTTGTGTACGCGTAGTAAATTAACAGTAAAAATGAAGTATATTCTGCAGGAATATACGGATATGATTGTGGCATGCGGGCTAAGGAGAGAAAATACTTATCGTGCTGCAAATTACGTGGAATGATTTCCCGGGCGTGCACGAAAACCAAGTGGACGTTCAATTTTACATGTTGTACAATAATTATGTAAAACTGGTATCATGCATGATATCGGGATAATCGGTCCAGCAGTGCGTTTTTGTATATGAGATGAAAGAAGGATTCTTGAAGAATTTTATGAAAATCTTGGAACTAGCGTGCGCCGTGTGGCACATAAATTTGGTTTTTCGCGATACGCGGTACATCACGCTTTACGTATAACGGCTTACGGCCCGTATCATTATCAACGTGTGCAACACATTTTATCGAAAGATTTTTCACAGATCAAATTTTGTGAAAGTAATGTCATCATCAATTTTTATACATTTACGATACATTCAGCGTACAGTAACGGCATTTTGAACAAATTTCACATTAAATTGAGAGTGGAATAGGCCTATGGAGGAAACCACCATAAAAAAAGCGCATCATGCTATTTACCGCAAGGTGATATGGAAATGATAACGCATCATTTTCTGGCCACTAAAAGGACGGGTGATTTTTCGGCGCAGTATTGCGATATATCGCACGCCACCATCATGTTTCAAAGATCGATCCGCCCGTTTTGTCGCGCGCTTCTATTCACGCAGATTGGACGATCTTCTTTAATTAATTTTTCATTAATTATTGCGAATATCGCAAAATAGTATAGGTTCCTCCTTCTTAATTTGAGCCAATCTACCTTCACACTTTGGGAATCTGAAAATTTTCCTGACACCCTGTATAATGTACGTGAAAATACATTTATGTATAAAATCTTAAAATAATGTTATTTACTTTGTTAAAAATGTAAATACTATAGCTTGTAAATTATATGACTTGGCAAATACTTTTAAGCGATAATGTTAGTAGTAGTATATATTAGTACGATACCTTTGCCATCATACATCAATAATCGTCAATAATTAATTCAAGGCAAATTGTCTGTTGATTCCCACGATTTTTGATCTCGTTCACTGAAAGAAAATTTCACTTTATCGCTTTCGTATTAGAAACATTCACTTATTTGATAAATGATGCACATAATGCGATATTTTCTCAATTTAGTAATTTATTAGTATTCTCACAAGATATCTCGTGGGCATAGAAATTGATTTTAATAAAACTTTGCACACATATAAAGGAATGAATAAATTTAGAAATTTTCAATTAGTGCTAAAAAACAATTCTAATAAGAGAAATATCAGACATTATTCCCTCTGATTTTATTGAGTCTGACATATATCAAGAAACATAGCTGTGTTTCGTACTAATTAATCGAGTATTGTATTAGTTAATCGAAACTTAGATTTGAATTGTGTATGTGATGAAAGTGTCTTTATTTTTCTTCTACGTATTCTATAATATTAAGCAAAGACATTACGAAAATTTTAATATAAAAATTTTCTTCTAAAAAGCTTACTATCATTATAAATGTTCTAAAGAGAAATATTACATTGTTCTTTTTCAGACAATATATATTACATTGCTTTTTTAACTTTTACATTGCTTGAACATAAAATGATGCTAACGTCGTTCGCAATAAAAGGTAATCTATAATAAATTATATATTGACCATATATAATATATCGTATATTGATCAATCTTATTGCTATGTTCAATATTTATTTAATACGTAGGGCAACAATAAATACTTTTATCTTATAAATCTAATAATTATATTTTATTAAATTCCTTTTGCTGTGGCGAATGTAGAACGCGCGTGATAGACGGCACATATTTAGCCATGACCGTTATAAATGGCAAAACTTTTTGCTGTCGCGCATCGCGTATCAGTTACTAATATGAAGATATTTAAATAATGATAATATAAATACTGAGCACTTAAAGGCGCTAACAACACCACCCACACGGAACATGACATCCATTGGAAGTCCATATGACCTCCATACCTTCATGCGACCTCTATCTCCACGATGGATGTTTAATGTCTTCTTCTTCTTCCGTTAATGGCACCGGGCGTTTCAATCTTTTCCCATGCTATCAATCTGGATGTTCAATGGATCTCTCAATAGAAATCCATATTATCTCCATGATAGATGTCGTTTGTAAATCCATCATGGATGTTCATTAGACGTCGGTTATGGATGTATAATAGATATGTACACATTTCTCTTAACATTAAGTAAAAATGTAATTTCTAAGTATTATTTAAAATTCTCACCTAGTATTTTGAGAAAACCTAGTATATTGAAAATTTGTAGTATTCTATATTTTATTTTTAACATTTTAAAAATTTTTATACAAAATTTAAATTTTTATTAAAAACTTTTAATATCTCTATAATTAACAAAATTTTAATACTAAAAAAAATTCAATACTAAAAAGATTTTCTTTGACAATAAAATTTTTTTATATAAATTATAATATATGTTAATTATTATATTAGAAAATAGAAAACATTTAATTTTTTAATTAAAACTAAAGATAGCTAAATTTATTATACATTTCATATATTGTATTTCGTAAAATTATGGTAATTCTTGTTAATATAATTATTTAAAAAAAAATAAATAAAATACATTAAACAATTTTCATCTAAACAAATTACGTTTTTTATTAATTATTTTTCCTAATATTTGTAAATATTATTTTTTGTTACTTTATCTTATATCTCACTAATAATTATAGTCAGTGAAAGTAAAATTTCATTGTAAAATCAGTAATTGCGCTAGTTCGTTCGTTTACCGCTGTGGTGCATTATTTTTTTCGTATTTGAGCTTTAGTTATGAGAATTATATAAAGCAAAAGGCGACAGATTAAATTAAAAGTATTACTTCGATCTAATTTGTGATACAGTTTCAATAGAGGAATTTTAGATTAACCCTTTAAGGACGGAACGGACACTTTTTTTACATCATTTTCGACACTAAATCTATATATGAAAATGACTCGTGAAAAATTTGTGAAACAATGATTTTGAAAGCTTAGAATCTTAGCTTTCAGATACCGTTGTCAGATTTGACCTATAAAATTCTTGAAAAAAGTTACAGGAAATTTTTTGAAAAAAAACACGAATTTTTTCAGATTCTGTCTCAGATATTTCATGTTTTGAGCTCGAAAAAGGTCTTTGAAAGGCAATCACGCTTAAGAGTGTCATGTGTATCTATGCTAAAAAACCTTGTAGCGTAATTTCAAAAATTCAAGATGGCGGACTCAAGATGGCGGTTCAGAATTGAAAACATCGTGAAAAATGCATTTTTCTTCGATTTTTCGATGTGTATCTCGCTCAATCTTGTAAATAACTTTAAATTTTCGACTTTTTGACCTTGAAAATCAATATTAGTAATATTAAACGTAAAAACAAGTAAATATATTTAAAAATAGCTCTAAATAAAGCTTGTGAGGCATGTTTATGGACGTGTACGCTTATTTATCATACGTATACAAGAATTTTCGTCAATGTAAAAAAAATATAAATATATATGTGTATATATGTGTAATATATATGTATAGATAATGTGTGTTGTAATTTTAATACATAATATATACACATATTCAACACTCTCAGTTATACGTGTATTTTATACATATGATTGAGTATACCGTAATAATAAATATATTTTATTGAAATTTATTCTCTTAAAATTCATTGCGAGTCTACATTTAGAGGCAAAATTTTTTTCATTATTTCTAATAGTTCTAGTCGGCTTATCTGACAAAAACTTTTAAGAAACATTACCTACAGTTTTTTGGCTATTTTATGAAAAACATCAATCACGATATCAATCATTGTAAGTTTTAGAAGTATTGCAATACATACTTATATTTGTAGCTTCCGCCACTTTAATTTCAATAAAATATATTTATTATTACGGTATACTCAATTATATGTATAAAATACACGTATAACTGAGAGTGTTGAATATGTATATATTATGTATAAAATTACAACATACATTATCTGCACATATATATTACACATATATATACACATATATATTTATATTTTTTTTACATTGTCGAAAATTCTCGTATACGTATGATAAATAAGCGTACACGTCCATAAACATGCCCCACAAACTTTATTTAGAGCTATTTTTAAATATATTTATTTGTTTTTACGTTTAATATTACTAATATTGATTTTCAAGGTCAAAAAGTCGAAAATTTAAAATTATTTACAAGATTAAGCGAGATACACATCGAAAAATCGAAGAAAAATGCATTTTTCACAATTTTTTCAACTTTGAATCGCCATCTTGAGTCCGCCATCTTGAATTTTTGAAATTACGCTAAAGTTTTTTAGCATAGATACACATGACACTCTTAAGCGTGATTGCGATCTTTTCAAAGACCTTTTTCGATCTCAAAACATGAAATATCTGAGACAGAATCTGAAAAAATTCGTGTTTTTTTTTTCAAAAAATCTCCTGTAACTTTTTTCAAAAATTTTATAGGTCAAATCCGACAACGATATCCGAAAGCTGAGATTCTAAGATTTTCAAAATCATTGTTTCACAAATTTTTTACGAGTCATTTTTATATATAGATTTAGTGCCGAAAATGATGTAAAAAAGTGTCCGTTCCGTCTTTAAAAGATTAAATCGATTTTATAAATTGGACAAGTAAATCTCCGGCCAATAAAATGATCCGTTCATTATCTATTTAAGATGCATGTTCAATACGCATCTAAATATAAATAAAATTTTTAATTTTATACAAAGTAAATAAATTATAATTTAATATTATTGATTAAAACAATCAATATTACTAATACTTTTAGTGAAATATTATTACAGATTGTGTATGAATGTGTGTATGTTGTGCCGGAAGCGGCACGGGATGTGGGGTGCAGTCGGAAGATATAGAATATCTTAGGCCGCCGAAGGATCAGGAGCCGGGGATTCGGCTGCGTTTAATAATTTAATGTGTTTTCTGTTTTAATTATACCTTGTGTTTTAATCTTTAGAATATACATCAATTCCTATAGGAGCCTTTCTTATTGTTGCTGATATAATTGAGTCTTTCCGCCTTGTCCTTCATCTTCGATTATAACCGTCAAAATAGTTTGTTTATAATACGTGATTGGTTCGCACTTAATACTAGTTCCACTTGCTGTACGACTGATCGCCGTGCTCTTGCGGTGGTTCGTATTTAAACCCTTGATTTGGGAGGTTTTTTTGAGAGGAGATCGCTTAATAACATGGCCAAACAGGGTCATAGTACGGTCAAGTTGCAAACGAAGATGATTTAGTGTCGAAATCCTTCACACTTCCGCGTTTTCGACGAATCCGTGCGTGGTTCGCTGAGTGATTTTATGAAATGAATGCTCGATATCGCATTTAATAATATTTTATGCTAACGTTTAATATTTTAATTATGTACAGGTTATAGTCTGTGAGACTCTAACAATGAATGCATTATTTTATTAATTTCATTAGAAAGCAAACGTTTAACGAATAAAAGAAGAAAACATATTTTACGTTAAACGGTTTTTAAACGCTTTTTTTGTATCAGAAAAGAAAAGTATCTCTTAATGTTTTTCAAGTAGACATTTTAAACAATCAGAAATGTTTTCAAGAATCAGTTATAAAACGTTTCAAAGAAATTTATGGAATATTTGTGAAACGTTTTTGAAATAAATATGTGCTATCTGGGACTCTAATTAATGTCTATATGATGTCCATATGACATTCAGAGACGAATTTTTATAACCTCTAGTTAATGTCAATATGACATCCATATGACATCTATGAGTACGTCTAATGGATGTCAAATGGAAGTAAGAAATGCGGAACTGTGGATCTCTAATAAACGTTTATAAGAAATTTCATGATCTAATAGAGGTTTCGAACCTCTATGATGGATGTCTAATGGACATCCATTAGAGGTTTTTGTTCCGTGTGGGCATGTAGGTGATAACACTTGAACGCCTTAAGAAGATCCCTCATTGAACGAATTTTTACACATACAGCGGGAGTGCCTCGTTTGACCACGTTGAGATTGATTACA